CATGTTTGGTGTGACAGGGATTCGAACCCGCGACCCGCAGATTGCGAGTCGAGAGCCCTAACCACCTGGCCATGCCGGGCCATATATATATATAATAATAATAATAAAAACTATAGATATACAACATAAAGTACATACTGGTATTTTCAATCTGAACGCCACCTTGTGCCCATGGGTCTGAGAACCTTAGATTTTAAGTACAACCGTCCTTAGTTTCTAACTAACGAGAGGGAAGATAGAAAATCAGCAACACCCACCGCCACAAATGTCTCTGACCGGCCTTAAATCAGATAACAAGATTGACTGTTCTTTTTACAACGCAGACACGGCTGAAAGTGTGGAGTAATGTTCAGCGAAATCACGTCTCGAACCTTAAACCTTACGATCCGCAGTAAAACATGAACATAGAATAAGAGATTACAGTGTGCGGAGCAAAGACTTATCATTACTTATGAAAAGACTTATCATTACTTATGAAAAGACTTATCATTACTTATGAAAAGACTTATCATTACTTATGAAAAGACTTATCAAAGACTTATCATTACTTTTGAAAATACGGAAAAATTTGGTTTAGTAAACAAGTCGTCAACTAGCATAAAACATTACATTGTTTTAACGTGTCCTATCGTTGGGCGGGTTCTTCTGGATTACTTGGTATAAATAATGCCAACCCAGCCCATGTAACGATAACAAATCAGTTTCTTTGTTCTGTAAGCTACTTTCACTTTGACACAATTTGCAGGCCCAGGTGCAATAGAAACTTAGTGTCTAATGGCACCGATACCTAACTTACAAATAACTCACAGATTTTCCGTCCTAATGATCTGAAATACTGATTGATTTCTCATTCCCAAACTGCTACTCGTATTGATAATACAATTATCTTTTTACATATTTCACGAAGCTTCTCGATCATCAAGTACTTTCTTAAGTATACTGAATCATCAGCCTCTAGCAAACATCTTACACTGAATATATATTACTTACAATAATACTTTCCCAAGATCCTACCACTACTGATAACACAGGCCTGCAATGATTTTATTGTCTTGGAATTTTTACGCGTTCTAGAGTAATTCCTTTACGCTAAATCCGAAAATGATGTCCATTTTTCTCCATCACGTGCAGATTTTTACAAAACTTCATATGTGTTTTTACATACGTGAATGATTTTCATTGAAATCGGATCACATTT